AAATGACAGCTTGACCAGTAGCTATGATGCACACTGACACCAGGGGGCAATCAATGCATAAATGGAAACATGGAACAGACTGATGAATCTCAGAGGGAAGAAAGGAGGGGAGAGGGCAGGAAAAGCTTAATCAAAGATCTTATATGTATAGTAGAGGCCCAGTACAGGATTGGCTGAAAATGCCCACTGGGGTCTCTTGGCCTGGCCTGCAGGGATAGGGCTGAAACCAGCAGTCCGACATCCGCTGAAGGGTCCCAGATTGCAACAGGGCACAGGCCAGGCTGAGGCACCCACTGGTGCAAGAATCCCTGCACTGGACCTCTAGTGGTAATATATTGTGTTAGCACCTTTGAAGATTTCTATGGAAGAAAATTTTCCAATTCATGTATTTGACTGATTCAATGTAGAAAATTCAAAGACAAGAGATAAATTATCAGAGCCTCTCTACTTCCCATCAAAATATGCCTTTGGTTACTGAATACAACTATAAGAAATGTGGATGTTTTAAAAGGCAACAGGACAGTATCCCAGGGTAACAAAGAAATTAGCTTAGTTGTTATTTTGGTTTTTGTTTTTTTTGTGAAGAATACATAGAACATTAAATAAACTAGAGAAAATATTTGAATACTAGAGGCCCAGTGCATGAAATTCATGCATGGGGGGTTTCCCTCAGCCCAGCCTGCACTCTCTCTAATCTGGGACCCCTCAGGGGATGTCCAACTGCTAGTTTAGGCTCAATCTTGGGGATCGGGCTTAAACCAGCAGTCGGACATCCCTCTCAAAATCTGAGACCACTGACTTCTAACTATTCACCTGCCTGCCTCCCTGATTGCCCCTAACTTCTGCCCCTGCTGGCCTGGTCACACCCAACTGTCCTGCTCAGCTGCCCTGGTTGTCCCATGCAGCATGCTGTTCTGTCATTTGGTTGCCCCTCATAAACCCCCCTGTCAGCCTAGACACCCCATGCAGCCTGCTGCTCAGTCCTTTAGTCACCCCTCACTAACCCCCCTAATGGCCTAGTTGCCCCACACAGTTTGGTCATCAGTTCGGTTGCTATGGTCACTTAGGCTTTTATATATGTAGATGGATTGCATTGTTCAATCCTCTTATGGAACCTATTCTTTTGCTTACACATTTTCTCTCTTTTTCTTAACAATTCTCATTTCTTCTCTCCCTGACTGCTCTTTGTTTGATTTTGAAGTTGCTAGAAGAAATTTCCTCAGAGATATACCCAAGGAAACATTTAGTTAGCAAGTTGGGGTTTAAGATAACTAATAAAATATAGAACTGCCTGAACAACCCACCTTTTATGATTTATTTAAGGAAACAGAGCTGCTTACCAGAGTCATCAAGCACATTGCTCTCTGGCAACACCGGAGGCCTCACTGGTTGAGATACAATTGAACTGGACATCACCTCTCCTGTGTACACTGTATCTTAAATGGACCTAACCTGGAGAATCTGTGATGCCAGAAACATAAAAAAATAGAATAAGACAACATAATGCATGTTAGGATGCAATAAATTTAGTTTTATATAGCCTAGTATACTAAATTTAAGCATAAATATTCATAACAATGTAATATATAATCAACTACATATATTTATTGGTTTTCATTTGCAGAAGAGAAAAGCAATGTACAGAAGCACAATATATTAAAAATTACTTTCTGAAGTGAATGTTTATTTACTATCAATGCATTGCTAATTGCTTGCAATTTTGTCTTCTGTAATTACACTAATATGTTGAATAAAGAATTGTCTGCAATAATAATTTATGTATATATTTTAATAATTCTGCATGCATTTATTTTTTACCTAGATACGTCTCTTCTATTTCAGGTGCATTTACTTACTGTGTTTCCCTGAAAATAAGACATCCTCCAAAAATAAGACCTAGGGCATGGAAAGATAAGACATCCCCTGAAAATAAGACCTAGCGCAACTTTGGGAGAAAAAATTAATATAAGACACTGTCTTATTTTCGGGGAAACAGTGTAGTTACTTTGCTTATTTAAATTTAATGATTTAAGATTTCAACTCACCTTGCCATACCCAGACACTTTACTTACAGTTCTAATAGTTTATGACATACAATATCTCATTTTTATATTAATAAAGCATCTCTTATATGATGACATTAACTATTATGCCAAGAAAAATTTTTTCTAGCATGTGTATATATTGCTTACATATGTAGGTATGAATGTAAGTATGTAGTGTGTAGTGATCTAATGCACCTCAATATCATTTAAGTCAGTGATACATTGTGCATACCAATTCACCCAATAATTAAGTATATGTGAAGGATGTAACATAATATATATGTTAAGGTTTTATGTGCATTAGAGCTATAATATCTTTCAAAAATTTAATACTTAATATATGCCTGAGTTCCTTGAAGAGAGATTAAAATATAGAGGCTATGCCAAAACTGGTTTGGCTCAGTGGATAGAGCATTGGCCTATGGACTGAAAGGTCCCAGGTTCGATTCCGGTTAAGGGCATGTACCTTGGTGTGGGCATGTCCCCAGTAAGGGGTATGCAAGAGGCAGCTGATCTATGTTTCTCTCTCATCTATGTTTCTAACTTTCTATCCCTCTCTCTTTCTCTCTGTAAAAACACAATAAAATATATTTTTAAAAAGCAACAACATAGAGGCCACAAAATTCACAATCCACATTTATCAATACATCTGCCTTAGACATTTTTTCAAACGTTACCCAGTTTTATTATTACGTTCAAAAATTTAAAGAACAATGTAGACCATAATTAGAATAAAATACACTCAGCTGAATGCAGGCTGCAGAAATAACTTTTCCAAGACCAAATGCAATGACTGTTAATGAAGGACAATAGGTCTTCCATAGCTTTTTCAATATTGTCATTAAATTCCACAAGGAAAGTTCTTTGTTTTAAAGACAGAGAACTGACTAATTCATGCTGTTTTAAACTTGACAAGCCTGTGAGGTTGTCATAGCAGCTTTTCAAATTTTCTGTGTTGAACTGGAAAAAAAAATGTACCTAGTTACAGAATGTAAAAAACATATACATCTTCTTTTCAGAGAGTTATCTGTCATGTTATCAGGGTTTAGAATTAACTTTTTCCTCTTGTTCAGTAATCCTCAGAAAACTATGATGATGGTGAGGTTTAAGTTATTAAAGCCAGTGGGCTAGGATTGGGTGTAGGGCTGAAGACTAAGGAAAGCAAAGTAAGCTTAAGTGTAGAATTTAATTACCTAACATTGTCCTACTAAGCATCCACTAGGAACCAGACTCAATTTTAAATTTGGAGGCTATTTAAGAATACAAAGATGATCCCATGTTTTCAATTCCAGAGGGTAATATCCTATATAATAAAAGCCTAATATGCTAAGTGTCCAACCATTCAACCAGTTGCTATGATGTGCACTGACCACCAGAGGGTAGACACTTTGACTGGTAGGTTAGCTTGCTGCTGGGGTCTGGCCAATCAGGACTAGGTGAGAAGGGCCGGACACACCCTGGAGCCCTCCCTCAGGCTCCTTCCCCAACCCCAGTATTACACTGGTGTGGTCCCTCAGCCTGACCTATGCCCTCTCACAATCCCGGACCCCTTCGGGAATGTTGGAGAGCCATTTTGGCCTGATTCCTGCAGTACTTAATAAATAATGGCAGTACATTTTCCTAGTTCAGGCTGCCATAATTAAATACCATTGGCTGAGTGACTTAAACAACAAAAATAAAGTCATCACAGTTTTTGAGACTGGGAATTCCAACATCAAGATACCAACAAATCCAGTGTCTGGTGAGAGGCTTCTGACTGGCTCACAGATAACCAAATTGTGCAGAGAGAGAGTGCACTCTTGCATCCTTTCACAGGAGCACTAATCCCATTCTCAAAGGCTCCATGCTAATGGCCAAATTACTTTTTAGAGGCCTACCCTCCTAACAGCACTGCACTTGGGGGTTAAATTTTCAATGTATGAATTTTGGGAAGACGCAAACATTAAGTTTATAGCATGTGCTGAAATAAATGAAAAGAAGTATACTCAGAGTGTTTCATGCCTAAGTCCCTGACTGGGTTGCACTGTAACTGGCAAACGTTTCTGATGTAGGTATATGGCAAAGGAGGGATGTTCCAAATATTAACAAGAGGGGGAGATATATATACATACATGACAACAAGTAAATGTTATGGAAGGAACAACTCCTCACCCTCTGACCTGTTTTCTTACTAAAGCCCCCCAGACTCCCATCTTCATTGTGTTTTCCAAATAGTGGAGTTGGGTTTGTAGTCTGTGAATAGATCAATATGTAAAAGTACCCAATAATTTAAAAAAAATAGATTTAAAGTCTATGCAGTAATTATATGTATTTAACATTATATTTTTTAACAAATCAAGAAAAAATTTATTAGAAGACATGTTGGGGAGCACTAAAATAATTACATATACATAAATGTGTATATGTTTGCAAGATTATTAAAGGATTTACATTCAGTGATAGTAAAGGGTGAACAAATTTTAATATTAGACTCTGAAATGTAAAGTAACTAAAGTTTCACAACTGAATAATGCTTTATAGGTAGCTTGTGATGTGGCAGCTATGAGCACTATTTTCTGCATGTAGAGAGAAAACATGAGTCACTTAGTCCATAAGCATTATTTAGCCTGCAGCAGGTGCCGGTGTAATGCCCCATTTCCAGGCTATAACCAAGCACAAAGCAGACATCGTCTCTCCTTGTTTATAATACAGTTTTGAACTAGCTAACCCCACAAACATTTTTAGGATCACATCAGACATTTAGATGTCAGATGTATGCCCCACCATCCTAGCCCAGCAATATTCTTCCCAATTGTACAGGCTACTGAAAAGTCAAATTTAAAAATAGGAATTTGGGTGTAAAGCATACTGCAGAGATAAACTAAACAATATATGCCTGTCTCTTATCTTCTAAAAGTGCATATTGATGATTTACTGCTGACCAGTTTCATTTGCAAACCTTCCCTCCCACTATAGGAGCTGATGCTGTGGAAGCGCAGTGTAAAAGATTTGAAGTGAGAGCGAGCGAAGATGGCAGGGTGCTCTTTTCTGCAGATGAAGATGAGATTACCATTGGGGCTGAAAAGCTGAAAGTTACAGGTACTGTAGACTAAGGTATTGAAACACTGTTTATTTCTTGAAAGAATTTATAATTTATAACTGTGGGAAAATCTACTTTATGCGGTGTGTGATCCCCATGTCCAAAATTGAGTTTCACATGATATCACAATGTTAGATTTTCTAACAGTCTTCAAAGAGAAGGCAACTGGTTGTGGATGCTGAAAGGAATGTAAACATTAGCCTTGTTGATGTATAATTAAACCATGAATATCAGGGAGAGATAGGTGGAGGAAAGTGGGTATGAATGGTGGGAGATAAAAGGTAGGTCGAACATGAAGTAAAGCTTTCTATTGGTGATAGACAAATAAAATCTAGAGATATTATTTAAAAATAAAAGAGATGTAAAAGGAGAACTAAAGTGTAAATACCAACTTTAAGATGAAGTAGGAGAAAGATTATAATACAAGTAAACTATATGATTGTTCTTTAGGGCTCATAATTATTTTTAAAAGTATATAAACCAAGAAATACTGCTGATCACATATTATTTAGGAGTTAATAAATTAGGGTTCTAACATTAGGGTCATAAGTCAATCAACAACTGAAATCGAAAAAGCAAAAACAACAACAAAACACACACACACACACACACACACACACACACACACACACACATACACACATACCAAAAAAACAGAAAGTTAAAGAGATGATTGGGAACAGGGAATAATTTTTAAAGACAATTTTAAGCACAATTTCTATTCAATTATTCCTTTCACAACAATAATATATGTCATATTAAAACTATCCAAAGAGGCCTACATTACTTTAAGAAAGAAAAAATGATGAAACACCTTTGACTTAGTGTTATCCAGATCAGATTTTGGAATCAGCTCCTGGGATATCTATCATATCTATTTAGGTCCAGTTTAGTACTCTGGGCCCCGTGAGAGCAGTTAGCATGGTAATTGACCTCTGCTCTCCATGGGTTTTTGGGTTGAATCCTATCTCTACTATTCAATATTTTAAATAAATTATCATGCCTCCAATTTTTTTTCACCTAAATGATAATAATAAATTTAATGTCCAATCATATGTGTGGGCAAATACATGTCTGTATGTTCATCTGTATGTTTGGAGGGTTTTCCACAGATAATAAAGACATTGTAAGAGTTAGCTCTTTACTCTTACTAATAAGGAGAAAAATAACACTGTCAATGCCCCAGGCATGGCTGTATGGACTTCAAGAAAGAACTACTATTAAATAACTATGAAATTCAACAAGGGTTGTTGGGATGCCCTCACTGGGCATCCCTTGAATTGCTCATAACCCACTACCACCCTCATGTCCTCCTATCTTTTGAGAGAGTGTTTTACTGAGTAGCTGAGGCCTGTAACATCAGGTTGGTGTTTGATTGTAGCCCCTATTACTGTCCATCTGCCTTATTTTCCGTTTTTTCTTAAAATTCCTTGGAAAGGTCAGGAAAGGAGGTATGCATGCGAGGCAAAAATTAAGCAGATTGACCTTTCTAAGTCTTCTGATAGGGGCAAAGGAGACTTAAAAAAGCATGAAGATAAGGTTTGTGTAGAACACAGACAAATCACTAAGGGCATTGACTTTAGGGCCCTTTGTGCTAACATGTGAGCTGCTGGTTGGTAGAAAAGTTGGGGATGAGCTTAAAAATTCACTCAGGAAGACTGGGCCCATATGATTTCAATATTTAACAATCTTTCAACCTTGGTAGTGCCTACTGGTTATTAGCTTTGATGGCAGCATAATTCTGAGATAGCATTTAGGATATTACCAATTACCCTAAAATTATTTAATCAGTACTCATATATTCCCAGGGAATACTTTGCATTCATAAATGAAGGGAAGTTCTAGAGCTCTTGATAGCTTTTAGGATTCATGGAATTGTAACTTTCTCTGATCTTTATGTTACCTTGACATGTCTCCTAACAATTGCAGTGGAGTGCTCTCTTTACAAAATTAGACACAATCAGTAGATTTTGAATTCTTTTTTCTTTGACAGTCAATTTTATTTTCCTCTTTTTCTTGGTATCATCGGACTATAATTTGAGCCATTAAGTCAGGTGAGAATGTGCCCCCTGAGAAATCTAAGTTTTTCTGCTTTTTAGTTAACTGTCTCGTGGCAGTCATCTCTGCTAACCTGTCATTTTATTCTTTCTCTCTCCCCCTATGTGTCTGAATGAATGTGTAAATATGTATCATATATATAGTATATGTGAATAGTATAATATATATGTATGTATAGATGGATAAATAATTTTATTTCACTCTGGCTCTCTTTTTCTATTTCTTTCTCTATCTCAAAATTATACACATAACTGAGTTTATTCTTTATATATCCTTGATTGATTTGTATTTCCCAATTATCTCAGAAAACAAATCAGTTTTATAATAGATTTATGTACTATATGATTTCAAAAGATCCCAAACAACAAAATAATGTAATCCTGACACCATCATTTCTGAGCCCAATGTAATTTTGTAAGGGTTTGAAGAAGAGCACTTAGGCTGAAAGAATGAGCGTGCCTCTCCACATTGTTAGCAGATGCATGGAGAGTAACTTAACTGATTAGAACTACCACCACCTCTCCAAGTCTCCAGGCACATTTCTGTTTCTCACAGACACAAGCATACATGTGTCCTCTCCATGCCCTGCAAGGTCTGTACTCCTTTACTAGATCATTGCATATTAATTTTATAGTACTGTGTTCCTTCCTGTGAAAGTTCTCAAGTAAAGAGGGGGAACATACCAAAGGCAAATATAATTTAGAATTTTACATGCTTGGAGGAGAAAATCGTGCAGAGCGTAGCATGCAATTTAGGGGAATGAGACTTGATTTGTGAGCCCACATATACTTTAAAGCAGTGCTTGAATCATTTAATACACAGCACTGCAAAGAAACACTGGCTCCCAGGCGCTTCATATAATTAGTTAGCTGCGCTGACAAGACTTCAAAGTTGAAGTGACAAGAGAGATCTGTGTGGAGTTTATTCTAGAATTTTAACTTTGTGACACAAAAATGTTCTATTTAAGGAAGATTCCTAGGAATTAAAGCCCTTCCTTACTTTATCCTTTGCAAACAACCGCATTTTGTACAAATATTTCTCTTTCAGGGCAACAGAAGTATATGCATTTATTTAGTGTGTCTATACACCTGAGGCAGAATCATTCCTGACTAAAGTTATTCATTGATCTAGTATCGCTCAGGATATTTACATTTACCCTTCCTACAATATAGCAGGAATTTACCTCATTCACTAGTGCGTAGGAGGAAAGAAGGAAAATGGCAAATGGTTACCTGAACACAGCCACCCCTCAAGACGCCTATCACCATGATGAGCAATCATACGCTTGAAATGTATAACGCTTTATTCTTGATATTACTTGACTTGCTCAGTAATTATTTACTTAAATCTTAATTTGTGTTTCTTTTTGTATTTAAAAAAATCCTTATTGTTTAAAGTATTATAAATGCCCCCTGGGTGTTTCTTTTTTCCCATTGTCCCCCATCCACCCTGCACCCGCCCCCACCCAGGCCTACGCCACACTATTGACTATATCCATGGGTTATGCATTTATACATATAAGTTCCCTGATTAATCTCTCTTAAATCTTAGTTTGAATACACTTATTTAACCTTTACATGCCCTCTCTGTGTCATTGGATATTTGGCAGTTTCACATTAGCTCACATATGCATGCTTGAATGCAAACCTTATTTGCATTTTTTTCTCCCCTAATATTGACCAATGTTATCCCTTAATGCAATTATCTTTTGAGAGCAGATAAATAAATAGAAGATAGAAGCCTTTCCACTCAGAAGACTCAAATTTAGTGCTTTCAGGCAGAATTTATCACCTTCAATTTGTACTTTCATTTGTATGCCATGCCATATATTCACTTGGAAACCAAGTTCATGTATAAGTCATCTTGCTTTATAAAGGGAAAAGACTTTAGTCCTATAGAGTACCTTAATGTTCAATTAAATGCTATCGGTTGGACTTAGACATCTCTTTTTTCCTATTTGAATGAAAAAGGGGAGAAAAAACACAAGAAGCTAAATACCTGAGGAGAAAGAGTATGTCTTTTATTTTCAGAGAGTAGAAATTAAAACTGGCAATCTGAAAGAATCAGGAAACCCAGCCACGCATGTACCCAGTGCCCTTGTGTTGACTTGAAAAGCAAGAGTCCCACTCCTTTGTCTCTGTTCTAGCTGAGTGCCTGGGAAGACAGACACGTTCTAATGCCTTTGTGACAATTGAAGAAAGGATTTTCTGAAGAGCTGTCTTTTAATTAAACACCATGTTTCTGGGTTGAAATCAATATTTTCTGGGTTGTTTTTATTAGTTAGTCTGCTACATCCTTGTTCTTGTCTGTTAAATTGGCACATTTGGAACCAAGTGAGCTGTTATGCACGACCTTCTTCCCCTCCCCCCCACCTGTCCAAATGCCAAGAATGTGTACCACTCAGCTGGCAGCATGGATGGAGCACCTTGGTTCACATAGTACTTGAAGAAATGTGATTAAATCAGGTTCTGAGGAAAGCACTGTGCAGGTATTCATTTGCTCGAGTGAGGCATTTCAAGTTCACAGACTAGGGTAAATCACCCAACTCACTCACCTAGTTTTCCAGTTGCCTTTTAAAACTCCTAAGGAGAAAGGTTTTGGAGACACTAGTGATTAGTACCACTTTACCTTATGCCCAACTCTCCAGGGAAAACTTTTAGAAGGTGTTGAAGTTTATAAATAATAAACTAGGCCTTATTCGCAATCCTCTCCATGACTTATTTTTCCAAGCTATCATTTGAATCTTTCCTATTTTTTGTTAAAGCAAAACTTGAAAATATGCTTTCATAATAAAAATGTGAAAAGCGTCTCAAAAGAGGACAGTCACTTTAAAAAATAATTGGGATGTGTTGAATTAACATGTTTTTGTAGTGGTTTTAAATTTTTCCATTGATGTTTAAAATTTGTCTTATAGCTACGGGCCTTAAATCCCCAAATATCT